CTGGTGGCGGCGGCGGCGCACCACGGCGCGGCAGCGGCGGCGGCGGCGGCGGCGGCGGCCGGGCAGGTGGCGGCGGCGTCGGCGGCGGCGGCCGTGGTGGGCGCGGCGGGCCTGGCGTCCATCTGCGACTCGGACACGGACCCGCGCGAGCTCGAGGCGTTCGCCGAGCGCTTCAAGCAGCGGCGCATCAAGCTGGGTGTGACGCAGGCCGACGTGGGCTCGGCGCTGGCCAACCTCAAGATCCCGGGCGTGGGCTCGCTTAGCCAGAGCACCATCTGCAGGTTCGAGTCGCTCACGCTCTCGCACAACAACATGATTGCGCTCAAGCCCATCCTGCAGGCGTGGCTGGAGGAAGCCGAGGGCGCGCAGCGCGAGAAAATGAACAAGCCCGAGCTCTTCAACGGTGGCGAGAAGAAGCGCAAGCGGACTTCCATCGCCGCGCCCGAGAAGCGCTCGCTCGAGGCCTACTTCGCCGTACAGCCCCGGCCCTCGTCCGAGAAGATCGCCGCCATCGCCGAGAAACTGGACCTCAAAAAGAACGTGGTGCGGGTGTGGTTTTGCAACCAGAGACAGAAGCAGAAGCGGATGAAATTCTCCGCCACTTACTGAGGGGGATGGGAGGTACCGGGCGGGGCAGATCGGGGAGCCGAAGGGCATTTCGAGGGGCTTTCCCCGGGCCTGTTTCCCCCCGGATTTAGAGTGTCCGTTGTCCTGCTTGCATTTGGGGAGCCCCTCCTCGAGCGTTCGCCTCCACCTCCTCTCTGCTCTCCCTGCCCTTACCCTCCCCAGCCTAGAGGACTGGGGTGCAGGGTGTGGACACCAGAGAGAAGGGCGGGGGGAGAAGAGGGAGCATTTGTGAGAGTGGGGGAGTCGGGGGAAGGAAAGCGGAGAGTGGAGGAGGGGTTGTGAGGGGCAGGATGGCTCTGGGGGTGAGGGTGGGGGGAGACTCGGGAAGGGTAGGGAAATTGACTGATTTTGACCAGAGACACTTATCAAAATCTCCTGGGGACCAAGGAGCTATGTACAAAAAAACCTACCAACCACCAAAAACTAGACAAATAAAGACAAAAGAAAACAAAACAGAACAAAAGCAAAGAAAAAAATGCTTTAGAAATTTAACTCCGGAGAGTCGTGTTCTGCAGCTTCATTCCCCCCTCCTCCCCTGCCCCCGCAAGGAAGAGAAAAAAGAGCACCACGTTATTACTATCGCCCAGCCCTACACACAGGAACTGAGTCAAAGACCGAACACCAGACGAACCGGAAGGTGAAATTCTGGGTAGCAAAGCTAGTTGTTCTGTTTGTGTGTTTAATTTAATCTTTCCTCTAAGTCTTACCTACACCCCATCCAAGTCCTCTTTGATTTATTTTCTCTTTTCCAATGAGACTCCGACGGCTGCTCTCCATTTCCAGAAAGTGAGTAGGGGCACAGCTCAAAGGGGCGGCGGGTGGCTACTTGTTTAGGTGAAGTCCAAATTTTCCAGTGACCCAGCCTATACTCCTGTGGCCTGATAGGTCAGATGGGGGTCTTTAGGGAGAGAGAGGCATAGTCTTTGGGCTGACTAAAAAGCAGAATTTAGAGGCTCCGAAATAAATCTTTTATTCTAGGAAAATAGAACAATTTTAACCAGGTTTTTACTCTTTCCATTTTTGCTCTCATATCTAAGATCTAGAAAACAGACCATTTCAAACTAAGCTTTTCCCCCCCTTCCCACTCATAGAACTTGCTTGCCCTTTCATTTATTTTTCTCAGTGGCTTATTTTAAACTATCTACTTTTTTTTCCCCTGTTGATTCAAATAGATTGATGGGGTGGCAGACAGTAGGAGAGATACGCTGTCCCATTTTCTCCACAGAACAGGACCCATCTTGCTCTTCTAGGTCCCCTTTCTTCTCTCTTGGAGAACATGAAATCATTGAAATATTGAGAAGTTTCTGCTTTCACTTGGAGCAGGACTTGGCTGTGAGAAAATCAACTAAATCCCAGATGAGAGGAAGACGGGTTTAAAGCCCTCCATTTATTTCAAAAAGGTCTGCATGTTGGGGGGGGGGAAGCAGAACAACTGTTTCATTATTATTATTATTATCCAAAAGTAATTTATTGCTGGGGATAAATGTTGGGTAGCAAAAACTTTAATTTGCACTATCAGTCTCCCAAATAGAAAATCATGTATAGTATTTCATAGTAATAATCAAGGTACTTTATGAAACTACTGATGGATTAAAAAAAGAAAAAAAATTGAAGGTGGTTAGGTAAAATGCCTGCTTGGTGCACAAGACACTCTTTTGATCTCGGGTGGAGATGGTTTATTACCATCCTTTAATAAGAACTAAAAAATTGAAAACAGAACAGATGAGAAAAGAAAAAACCTGCCATTTAACAGGACTGAAATCATGCATGATCTGAAAGGTGCAGAAAGAAACACAACTAGGTCTCACTCTGGTTAGGCATTATTTATTTAATTACATTGTATATCATTGTTTGCAGCGCAAACATTCTATGCATTTGAAACTGAGCACTAAACTGGGCTAGCTTTCTGATAGACCGTTCTGTGGATAGTGTGATTTCACAGTCTACTGCCTGTTTTCACCGAAAACACAACATTCTTGTCATATTCTTGTATTTAGAGGAAAAGGAAAAAAGGAAGATTACTGTAAATATTTTCTTTAATGCACACACTCACACAGTGGTTACGAACTGCCAGTGTTAATCCTGAAATGCCTCACGGATTGATCTACCTGTCCATGTATGTCTGCTGAGCTTTTTCCTTGGTTATGTCTTTGCTCTATTATCTTCCCCTCCTCCCCACTTCTATCAGAACCACTTCTGTGCGCCAAAATACAACAGGGGGATATGTCCCAGTACACTTACAAATAAAATATAACTGAAAGAAGAGCAGTTTTATGATTTGGGTGCATTTTTGTGTTTATACTGGGCCAAAGTCCTGGGAGAGCCGGTCAACAAATGAGACTCAATTCAACCAAAAATACAGGGAAGGGGAGGACGTTGAAAGGGAGGTGAAAAGAGGGGAAAGGATGAGAATGATGTATTTTTCTGCTGAATCAGAATTCACTTTCAGATAACTCATGTGAAAGCGGTGCTCTGAATAAAATGAATTCTCTATTAGTTGCCTGTGTTTATCAAAGTTTTCTTTTTTTTTTAACTGCAGAAATCCTTCAAGCACAGCCCTCGCTTCAGAGTGGTGGAAGGTAATAAATAACCACGCACTCTCAAAATATTTAAATCAAGGTTCGGTGCAGAGGCATTTGGAGGTTTGTATGTGTTGTTCTAGCCTAAAAACGTTTCTAAGAAAATGTTGTAACTAAATGACTTTTATTTGGAGTTTAACAAAAACCATCCACTGATCTGTCCAGCCATGGTGTCAAATGCCTCTGTTCATTTGGAACTTTAGTGTGCCACCTACTGCTCCAGAGGGACCAGAGATTCTCTGTTGGTGACCCGGGACTAGATCAGATGCCAAATGTAAAAAGTTTCTTAATAGCTGGGATTATATCTTCTGAAGTCATCCTACTTTAGCCAAATCTTTTTAATTTCACCGGCAAATCTGTGAAACAAAATGCTTGATGTTCAAAAAAGAAGAGTACATTTAAAAAGCTGTGATTTTAAACAATTGTTAATGTTTTAAAAAAATCACTAGAGGTATTTTTAAAATAGATCTCTTCCATCAAAATTGATTTGTTTCTGTTGTTATTAACTTGAAATGTCATCAAAGTTTTAAATAAAATACATTTGTTTAAAAAAATACCCACGTAATTTTATAGAAAAGTATGACCGGATTTCATTGTTGGAGAACCAGGAATGAACAAATAAACAGATTTACAAAGGCTGTTTTTTAAAAAAAATCTGCCCCGAACGGAAATGTTGCAGGCAAATATATTTGTATTATATAATGATGACTAATGTATGTAATAAGAACTAAGCATTTGTTTTGTATTAAGTAAAATCCTTACCAAATAAAGAGAAGACAATATTATGTTAATAAAACATATTATGAAAATAAATGCTTTGCAGAGTTTCCTATTTTACGTAGTAGGAAGCTGTGCAAAACAAAACAGGAAATGCCTTGCTATCTAGTGACTGAATCTGTGTACTGCCTGAAGGAATATTAAGACTATTCTAACATACCTTTGTCAATTCACGAACAAACAAACAAATAAACAAGTTAACAAACATCCTCCTGGAGAGAGTGCTAAGGCTTGCTACTCAGTGGTAGTTAACCTTTCAAAGTTTTCTGGTTCTGAAGAACGGAACTTCAAGTGAATTCTGGCACTAGTCAGTGGGTGGAAATAGCGTGGCTCCGGTTCTTTTAAATAATCTAAAAATAAGTTGGAGTGGGAAAATTGTGCTCTGTTTGCATTTCAGCTTCTCAGGAAATGCAGGCGGTGGTGGAGTAGGAAAGGCAAAAGAAAAGTAAGCATAAAATGCATCTACCACGTTTAAGACACCCATTCGTTTTAAATTTTCTCTTTTCCCCAGTCCTAGCTCCGGGTCCCGCTACTTCTGTAGGTCTAGGAAATGATGTCCTCAAGACGCTTCAACTAACTTCTTAATAGATTTTTGTTTAATGCGTGTTCTGAAATTGCTCTCAACTTCGATTACACCCTCATAAATAAACCGTAGGCACCCACTGACGTGATTGTATCGAGTTTTAATTTCTTGTGGTATTAAGATGACTTCGGTCCGGTTCCTACACTTGGCCGCGCCAAGAGAGGACAGGGCGCCCTGGGCCGAGGACTCATCTGGCCAGCTCCCGCCCTCAGCCCCTTGCCCCGTCTCCCCGGTCTTTCCGCCAACCTAGCCTGAAAAATCCCTACCCCATCTTTCACTTGGATGGGCTTTCATAGTCGAATCCGTGAGGTAGGAATTGTGACTTCTGACCTGGCTAAAAGCAGCGTTCCCCACCCCATTCGAATGGCCTTGGTGGCCGGCGAGGTGATAAAGGTGACGACCACAGTTATTCTCTGGTGTGGTTTTGCTGATGGGTGTTACTGCCGCTGCAGTCTTAGCCCCAGTCCTCGCGAGCGGTTCCAGAGGAGAACGCAAGCTTAATTGATTTTTAAAAAATAGCAGCCTAATTCTAAATCTCACGGGGGGCCTCTTTCCCACCTGCGAGATAAGCCTTGTCGCAATAATTACATTATTTAATATTTGATCAAACCTTTGCGCCACCGCGGCGGGAGGGGCCGGGCCGCCTCACGCCCTCCGGGGGCAGCGGGCAAGCGGCTCTGCCCGAGCCGGACCGGGCACGTGCGGCGGGGGCGCGCGGCCGCCCCGCTCGGGTTGGCTTGCCCTTTGAATAATTCATGGCCTGAGGATTCTGGAAATTAATAAAATGAAGGATAACAAGAAGCTAATTAAAAACTTTCGTAATTGTTGTCAAGTCAGCCTGGTGAAGAGATTGGGCAGCTCTCCCTCTCCCCCTCCCCGAAATCCGGTGGCTCCGTAGGGCGGGGCGCGGGCCCGGAAGGGCCTTGAAACTGGAGCGGCCGAACGCTCCTGCGGCTCCCGGAGTGATTTCGGAGGCGGCCTCGTGGTGCTGCTCCCTCCCCTCCAGTCTCTCAGGCTAGACTTCGGACTTAAGAGCGGGTGCCGTTTCAAACCACAGGCAGAGCTGACTGGGTCTGAATCTGCAGCCAGGAGGGGAACCGCTCTCCCCCGACCCAGGCAAGGTTCCTGACCCCCTGGAAACACCCACCCAACCCTGGCCGCCCGCGCGGGGAAATCCCAGCGCCCTAGGCGTGCGAGCCGCGGCCCAGCGACCAGGTACGCTGGGTCTGTGCCCCTCCGCCGCCTGCCGCGACTCGCGGCCCGGAAGCTTCCAGCTGCCGCGAGCCTCAGCTCCTCTCGAACGGTGGGACAGCTACCGCCTACCGGCCCTGGCCGGGGCTTAGCCAGGCCGTGAATAACCGGAGCGGTCAAACGCTCTAGTGCCCAGCGTCCAGCGCGCGTGCGCAGGCGTGACCGGCGGGGTACGGACCGCTGGGAGCGCCGCGCGGACGGGGCGCGCTCCGAGTGCGCACGGTGCGCGCCGAGCTCGCGCAAGCGCGTTTTGTGTGCGGCGTCACCTCAGAGAATTGAGCTGGAGCCCCGCAGCTGGTAATTAAGCGCTCCCGAATGTTCTTTCCCACCCTGTAAGGGCTTCTGAGGGCGTCCTGCGAGAAAAGGGAATGGACCAGTATCTCGTAGAGGTTAAAAATACTCCCCTCCCCACAGTTTGCCTACGTCAACAGACGTCCTAAACACCACAAAACTTACAAAACTGGTTGACATTTTTTGGCAAGAACTGGGAGCAATAAGGTCTCGGCTTTTGTTTTGTTGTTAAGGTGCACACCAACAAAGCCCTGCTACGAATTGGACCTTATACCTGGCGCGGGAGGAAGGCTGGCCGCTGGGCGTTAGTCCCGGGGAATTCCGTAGAGTCCTGGATCGCAAAACGGAGGATGAAAATCTCGGTTTCGAGAGAAGTTGGCAAAGCTCAAGCCAGGGGACCAGTGTCCTGCTGCTGCAGCCCCAGGGGAGGGGCTAGGAGCGCCTGTCTCCCATCTGTTGCCCCAAGCCCGAGGGCCCCGGAGGTCTCTTCCTTCCGATTTAGAAAGCGAAGAGAATGGGAAAAAAGAAGAAAAACTAAAGAAGCGTGGAGAGAAGTGGCAAAAGGAGGGATGGAGAAGGAAGAGAGGCAGACTCCTTGCATTGATTAGGTAAAGCGAATTACAAACCAAAGTTTGGTAACTCTTGACGCGTGGCTTCAGTGAAGCATAATGCACACAAACTTTTGTAGGCATGGATCAGAATAAAACAAAGTGTTGACAATTTCCAGCCGCGAAAATTCTCTTACACCAGTCTTTCCCTCCCCCCCGCCCCTCCCTCGCCAAGTGTTGACAATAAACATTTAATGAAGGCTGGGACCCGGCTGTCTCCAGCCAGTGTCTGAATACTTTAAGCAGACCATTAGCACGGCTTCTTCCACTTCAAACATCGCGCGCTACACTCTAACATTTTATATATATATATATATATATATATATATATATACACAAAGTGTGAGACAAATAGTATGTTTATACGAATATCTTAAGTGGTGTGCAGTAGTTCTGATACCCCCTGTACATATTAACAGAAACCAACGCATTGTAGAATACTCGCGCTTAAAAAACTGTTAAATACAGTTAATGCAATATTAATCGCCCTTTGGTGATATAAAATGCAATATTTTCAGGCAGCTATCGAGCTTTTCTAGAAGAAGAGCTGATGAAAAGAGTCACAGCTGAATAGTGGAGAGAGAAAGCCCGATATTTATTGCTTTTGTTTGGCTTTTGGCTACAGAGACAGGAACCTTCTAATGGGGTAAGGACATTTATTTTATCTGCAATCTATTGCTGCTAGAGCAGGGGCGGCAGATGGGGCTGGTGCGATAGTCACAGTGTAATTTAGAGCGAATCCTAATAACTAATAATGATTTATGTTAATTTTGATCACTTATGCGACTTTACCAAAGCGTTGTGATGAAAGAAAGGGAAAGCAAGAGAACCAGAACGTGACAAGGAGCTCTGAGGCTGAGATTGGAGCTCAGCTATCCTGCTTAAAATGTGTTTTATGAGTTAGCAATGGAAAAACAGGCATTTAAAAAAGCAGGTAGGATCCACTTGACTCTGGGCAGAGGTATCTCCCGGGGGCTTTCTTTTCTTCTGAAAAGAAACCTAAATGAGAGGAACCGTGACGCCTTTGAGCGGGAGTCTCTTTTATCGCAGTTTTAAAGAAAAAGATATGGTTTCAATTGTTTCATTTGTTTATATTCAACTAAGAGGTCTTGTGTGTGTATGTATGTGCACGCGTGTGTGTGTGTGTGTGTGTGTGTGTGTGTGTGTGTAGGGGAATCAAGTGTGTGAGAGGCGTTAGTGCGCGCCGGGGTCTTCCTTCCAAAGTGTAATCTGAGCCCGAGGTTTGAAATCAGCCTTAGCGCCTATGAGCAGGCTCTCGCGCACTGTCGCCACGCCTTATGCAAAAGTTTTATTACTGCGTGCTTAAGCAAGTTGCCTTTCTCGCTTCCCACCTGATATTTGTTTGTCTAGAATCAACTTTTGGGAAGCTTTGCCTTCTCTGCCTCCCATCTTTCCCCTCCCTCAAGGGATCCCAGGACTTTTAAACTTAAAAGTGCTTCCCCTCTCCCCATCCTCCTGGTTAAGTGGCCCGGGTTCAGAACCTCAGGGGCTGCCAACAGGACGCAGTTCTGCACGGGAACAGGCGATTTTCGGCTGCAACGCGGTGCATTGCAGAGGGTCGGAGCGATTTTGAAAGGGAGGGTGCGCCTTGCTCGTGGCAATTTACTTTTTCGGTTACCTTTTGCGCGTTTCAACGCCTCAAGGCTATAGTTTGAAAGTAAGACAGCATCAAAGCAGCTCCTTATTAGCTCTGTATTTGAGAAATCCGAAGATGAAACTACCTAAAAGGTTTAATAGGGCGGAACAGCATTTATTTGCCAAGCAAACAGTCAGAGTACAGTTCAAAAGGGGTACAGTGGTTTATCAGCAGGAGGCTGGAAGGAGAAGAACGTTGGGTAAAGGGAATTTCAAGCTTCAGTTACGACGTTAAAGTGAATTAAATAAGCTTCAAGTGGAATGTCTCCTTTGATTTTGAGTATCATCTCCCTCGCCAAAAATTTATACATACGTACATGTGTATATATATTTCTGCATATGTGTACATCCCAGAGGCTTACTCCCCCTTTCAGAGTTTGCCAAGACTTTGTAACTTTTAGGTTTTGTAGAGCAATAATAGTTATCTTTCTAGGGATTTGATCGCAAATGTATTTAAAATATAATCTTTTAAAATACAAAGTTTCATTATTTTTTCCCTTCTTATTTTAAGGCTACAGATGTAAAAATGCACTTAATTTCTTCTACTAGGGAAAAACATCAAGCTACATGATTAAGAGCTGTTTCTTTCCTAAATATTATGCTGTATATTGTTTTCACTTTTGAATCATCTCTATCAGTAAGTGTACTGTTATTGTACTGTTAATATTCCTGGTTTAAAGAGGACTTTAAACAAAATAAATCTTTAAACAAAATAAATCCAGGCAGCTAACGTTGCCTGTTTACTGGTAATGCTCAGGAGCTTGTGTGTGTTTGCGAGCTTGAAGCTGCGCCTCCACGTGCATATCCACATACAAACAGATTTTTACTGTGTTGTACTAAGTGCAATTTTTACTGTTGTTGTTGAGTGTAGTGGAGTCTTATTTCTAAACTTTATTCTGGTTCTGTCCCAGTGTTTCAGGGCCAGAAGCAACTCCCTTAAAATTGAAGTCTGGTGCATTATTGAAACTCTCTATCAAACAGCTCTGGGGTGCAGCCTTTCTGAACATGCTGGCTCTAGATGAGGTCTGACTGTCTGACTGCACATAAGCCCCTAATATGTTAATGGCCGTAGGGGATGCCTAAGGTACTATCTCAAGCTGCTTCGCACACCATATGTCAGGCCGTTAGCCACATGGATCTATT